GGAGGCGAGCGCAGGCGGAGAGGGGTGTTGTCGGGGCATCGCCCCGGAGGGGCGCACGGGTGTGGCACTCGAATGTGCGTGGGCCGCGGTCCTGGTGGCGCGGCCATCGCGCTGGCAGTGCGCCCGCGCGTCCGGGCCGCCGTGGCCAGGGGGGGGGCGATCTCCGCTTGGCGGGAGCGAGCCATGATGCCCGCGCAACTCCCGACGGAGGCGGAAGCCACGTGCGTGCATATCACACCCCCTCCGAACGTGAGCCGGTTCCGGTCGATGGAGCTGGGCTGCCAGGGGGCGGGGGGAAGAACTGGGAGCCGGTTTCCCGCTCTTTGTCCGGCTGCCTCCCTGTTCCCCCGCCTCCCGTGTGCGCATACACCGGCCGGGCGAGGGGCTTGGAGTTAGATTCCGCCGAGTTCACCGGTTTACGCGCGGCCACGGGCTGGCTCACACAGGGGGGGCCTGTCCAAAGAGAAACCGTGTGAGATGGCACCCCTCCCGGCCACGGAGGGTTTTCTCCACCAACACCCTCTCTGTTCCTCCCCTCGCCCTGCTTACATCCCGCATCCCATCCACGCCTTTGCCTTTTCCCTGCCCTTCATCGCCCTCCTTTTCTCCGCTTCCGCCCGCCAAACCGCCGGTGCCCTGCCGCAGCCATGACCCGCATCATCACGAAAGGTCCGTGTGGCTCCCCCCGCCCCTTTCCCCCCTTTTTTTTCTCTCCAGCCTCCACCCTGGCCGGAGCTTCTCCTCCACCCGCTGACGCTTCCTCGTCTCCCCTCCTGGTTTGTTGTCCCGCCGGAAATGCGCAGGTGGTGTCTGGCGCAACACCGAGGTACGCACGCGGTGCTCCCACTCTTGCGGCCTTTTCCTTCGCCCCCCGCCCCCTCCCTCCGGACCCTGACCCGATGTTATTCTGCCCCCCCCCCCCCTGCTGTCCAGGATGAGATCCTCAAGGCCGCCGTGATGAAGTACGGCCTCAGCCAGTGGGCCCGTATCTCGTCGCTCCTCTCCCGAAAGACACCCAAGCAGTGCAAGGCTCGCTGGGAGAACTGGCTTGACCCGAACATCAAGAAGGTGCGTTGGGTCGGGCGCGCAATCGCCTCCCTTTTCTTCTTTCTTTCTCCTTTTATCTGCGCTCGTTGCACTTCTGACTCGGATGTTGCCCCCCCCCCCCCCCGCCCCCCCCCACCTTCCCTTCGATGCTGACGCGCTTGGCAGACCGAGTGGTCTACCGAGGAGGAGGAGCGCCTCGTTCACCTGGCTACGCTGATGCCCTGCCAGTGGAACACCATCGCCAAGCAGCTCAACGGCCGGACGGCCGATCAGTGTCTTGAGCACTACAAGTCCCTCCAGTGCGTGTGTCTTTCCCCCTCATCCGCTCTTGGTCTTTGTTCCTGCAACCCCGTCTCCTCTTGTCTCGCCTCGTCTCGTGCTGGCTTTCCGCTGACATCTCTTCTCTCGTGTGTCTCCGCGTCTTTCGAAGGCTCGCCGCCGTCAAGGAGCAGGACAGCGATGCCGTCGAGGAGGTGTCCCGCTACAAGATCGATGATCGCGATCGCAACCCCGAGTCCAAGCCGGCCCGCCCGGATCCGGTCGACATGGAGGAGGAGGGTGCGTGCCGACCACGGTCTTCCCTCCTTTTCCGCTTCCCCTTCTCCCGCCCCCCCCTTTTTCACGCTTCCCCTCTCTTTTCGCTTTGCCCTGCCTGTCTCCCTCTTTTCTCACCTTTCCCCGGCCCCACTCGCAGAGAAGGAAATGATCGCCGAAGCTCGGGCCCGCCTGGCCAATACCCAGGGTAAGAAGGCCAAGCGCAAGGCCCGCGAGAAGCAGCTCGAGGAGGCTCGGCGCTTGGCGACCCTGCAGAAGCAGCGTGAGCTCAAGGCAGCCGGCATTTCGTGCGTCTCCCTGTTGGCCAACTTTTTTCTTCTTTCCGTGGCCTCTGGCATGTCTTACTGACTTTCTTCCCCCCCCCCCCCCCCCCCTACCTTTTGCCCAGTGTCTATGCCAAGCGTCTCCGTCATGACGAGATGGATTACAATCAGGACATTCCCTTTTACCAGCCCGCCCCGGCCGGTACGTCCCCTTTCCCCACCCTTCCCGGCCCAGATTGTCTTGCCTGCCTTTTTTTCTTCATCTTCCTCTTCTCCTGCCTTTCTTCCCCCTCCTTCCCCCCTCTCTGACACTAGGTCCTGTTCTCCCTGACGCCAGGATTCTTCGACACGACCAAGGAGCTCGGCCGGCCGAAGAAGGAGTTCCAGAAGCGCTCGCTCAAGGACCTCGAGGGCCCGCGCCGGGACGAGCGCAACGAGGCCGCCCGCAAGGCGCAGGAGCAGAAGGCCAAGGATGCCAAGAAGGACAAGAAGGCCCTGCCGAAGCTGGTTGCCGAGCTGGAGTGCGTCTCCTTTTCCTCCCCGCTTGTGGCTCTCTTCCCGCTGCTCTGCTTGCCATGTTCCCCTGGCTGACCTCGAATTGGGCCTCCTTCTCGCCCCCCCCCCCCCCCCCCCCCCTCCCCCTCTCGCTCTTCCGCCCGCCCCGTTGGCAGTGATGAGGCGCAGTTTACCAAGAGGCCGCGGCTGAACCTGCCAGCCCCGCAGGCCGACCAGGCGGACATTGACCAGGTCGTCAAGATGAGCCAGCGGTTGCGGGATCTGCCCGGGGCTGGGGCCGATGATGCGCCCCTCGGGGGTGCCGGTGGCACGGCGCTCGACGCCCTTCGAACTCCGGCGCAGATGCTCCAGACCCCGGCGCAGTTGCTGCAGACGCCGCGCAACGCCGGCGCCGGTGGCTCGGCCTTCGGCGTGTCGGCTGCCGCGGCGGCCGGCGGCCTGAGCGCCCTCTTCAAGAGCCTCCCCCGGCCACAGAATGAGATTGAGCTCGAGTTGCCGAACGAGGAGGAGCCGGCTCTGGATGAGGATGGCTTCGCTCTGCCCGGGCGTCGGAGTGGTGGCCCGGCCCCGATGGAGGTGGAGGACGCCGAGGACATCCGTCTGCGCGAGGAGCGCCGGCGCCAGGCCGAGGGTGCGTTGGCCGTGTGCACTATTGTGCCTTTTGTCTGTCCCTGGGGGTCCATTTGTCTCTCCCCCCCCCCTCCCCGCTTGATGTTTCGACTTCTCACATGCTCGGATCTCCTCGCTCTCCCTCTTCCTCTTTCTGTATCTCTCCGTGTTGCTCCCCCCTCCCGCTTCCCCTTCCCCTGCTTCCTGCCTGCCACCTGCCCTTGTTTTTGCCGTCTCTCGCCTTTTCGCTACGCACACACACACACACACACACGCAGAGGAGCGTCGCTTGCTGGAGCGGTCGCAGGTGGTGCAGCGCGGGCTCCCTCGGCCGGGGCAGCTCCATGCGCAGCTCTTCCGTCATGCGGATTCATCGACCGTGGCCGCACTGATTGATCAGGAGCTGCTAAGCATGCTGGAGCACGATGCGGCGGTCCATCCGCCGGCCGGGACTCCGGCCGGCCGGGCCCCGGCTGGCTTTGTTCATGTTTCCCTTGAAGAGATGGCCTCCGCCAAGGAGCTCATCGAGGCGGAGCTGGGCGCCTCGCTCGGGGGTCTTTCTGTGTCCACCGATTCCGGCGCCACGGTGACCCTGCCCGTGGCAAAGGCCGACTTCGAGCCGGCCCACGAGCATGTCCTGGTTTCGATGCTCCTTTCGGGGAGTAAGGGGTGCGTTGGGGCCCTTGACCGATACACTTCCCCCCCTGCCTGTGCCACATCCTGGTGCGATCTAATGGCCGCTTGACTTACCTCCTCCCGCGCTTTCCCCCGCGCCGTTGCTTTGCCTCGATCTCTGCCGCTTTCGCCCGATGCACTCAAGGCACCAAATGTCCGATGATTTGTCCCGGTCAGAGCGCGTGACCGCCCTTCGGGCTAATTATGATCAGATCCGCCAGGCGATGATTCGCGAGGACAAGCGTGCCCGGCGGATTGAGTCCCGTCTGGCCATTGTCCTGGGCGGGTATATTGTGCGTGTCTGTGGGGCCCTCGTGCTGTTTGTGCATCTCACCTTGCCTGTCTTCTCCGCGCTATGTGTGGCATACTGACCTCTTTCTCCCCCTGCACTTCTGTCTCCCCCTGCACTTCTGTCTTCTCTTGTACTTCTGTCTCCTCTTGTGCTTCTGTCTCCTCTTGTGCTTCTGTCTCCTCTTGTGCTTCTGTCTCCTCTTGTGCTTCTGTCCCTCCGTCTTTCCCTGTCGGCCTGCCTCCTCCTCTCCCTCTTTCGCTCCTCCCCCAGAAACGCGCTGATGCCCTCAGCAAGGAGGCTATCGAGGTGGGCACTCGGCTGGATACCACCCTGCAAGACGAGGTGGCCTTCCGGCACTTGGCTGAGGTGGAGGCCAGCGGCGCCGAGAGCCGGAGCAAGCAGCTGGAGTCTGCTTGCCATAGCATTGCCGAGGATGAGGCCCGTGCGCAGCGGCACTTTGCCGAACTCTCGGCCGAGTATGACCAGCTGCGCCTGCAAATTGCCGACGTCAAGAGCAAGCTCATTTCGGGTGGGGTGATCTAGTTCAGCTGTGAGGGCTCTTGGCCGGGCTTCCGCCATTCACACGCCCCCTCTCCCCCCTGTCCGCTCAACCCCCTCTCCCTGTTCCCGAAAGCCACAATACATGCTCAACACAACACTCCTGGACCCCGCACGCGCGAGCCCATGCACACACGTGCATTTGAGCCAGGCCGACCGCACGCCGACCGCACGCCGACCGCACGCCGACCGCACCTCCCCTCCCCCCCCACCCCCCCCCCGTTCATCGGAGGGACCAAAAGGCGGACAGGTGGTAATGCCGCCCGAGGGAAGGCCTGTATTGTGATCCCAGCCGGTGGACTACGCCATGGAGGGGACCGTGCATTCGAGGCACGGGCAGTAGGGGGCCGGGGTGACGATTGGGATGGCCACCGCGCCGGGGGTGGCCGGAGGGCTGGGAGTGCCTCCCCCCCCGGGCCGGCCCCGGCCAGGCCCCGCATGGTTGAGGGCGATGGCGTGCAGGTCGTCAAACTCCAAGTGGAGCAGGCCATTGTGCACGGGATCGCGCAGGCGGAAGCCCGACGGGAAGAACACCGTGCGGTTGGCATTGTGGATGCGCACAGCCAGCTGGGCCAGCACGCGCTCATAGTGGGTGCTGGTCAGCATGGTGGGCAGCCACCGGCCGAGCCAGCTGGCGTGCGGGCCAAAGCGCGGGGTAAGCTCCTGCTGATCGGCCGGGGTGACCGGCCGGCTGTTGATCAGAGCCACCGGCTGGTAGGGGGACGGCACCAGCAAGGACATCAACGGGTACCAGGTAAAGCAGGTGGCCAGAGACATGATGCCCTCGACCAGTGCCGGGCGATTGGAGTAGGGGGAGGGGTGGTCCAGCTGGGAGAGCTGGGCATTGAGTGTGTCGATGACCGTCTCAAAGGCAAGTGGGTCAAGCTTGGTGGGAAGGAGGACCGGGGGTGGGGGCGGGGGCGGGGGCGGGACGGCGCGGCGCGGCGCGGCACGACACGGCGAGGAGGCAGGGAGAGTCAGTATTCGCAGGTGCATGGCCCCTGCCGCCCGGGAAGAGCCGGAGGCCTTCCTGGCCACGAGGTGGATGCAGGAGTCAGCAGCCGGGAGGGGTTGGGAGAGGTACGCACTCGTCCGCTCATGATTTCCGGCATGACGGTGCTGAAGCGAATGCACACATCTCCCCGGTAGGTGTAGTCCCGGGCGGAGGTGAAAAACATCGGTCCGGGCCCGGCCGCCGGAGAGCCAGGATGCCCGGGTAGCCGGGGGGAGGCCGGCACCGGGCCAAGGCCCGAGTGCAGGGCGGCGCTCGAGGCCCCGACACCGGCACCCTCATGGGCACCCGGGTCGCCAGGGTCCCCCGAGCCGGTGGTGGCGATGGAGGTCATCGAGAAATTGGAGAATGACAACGGCTGTGGCTGGTGAAAGATGGACCCGGCCCCGCTGTCGAGGGACATGCGCCGGACCACGACGCTCTTCCGATCTCACCGGGCCAAGGCCCGAGTGCAGGGCGGCGCTCGAGGCCCCGACACCGGCACCCTCATGGGCACCCGGGTCGCCAGGGTCCCCCGAGCCGGTGGTGGCGATGGAGGTCATCGAGAAATTGGAGAATGACAACGGCTGTGGCTGGTGAAAGATGGACCCGGCCCCGCTGTCGAGGGACATGCGCCGGACCCGGCCGGAGGATGGGAGAGATGAGTTGGAGGCAAGGGCCAGCCGTGGCCGGTTGGCCAGCACCGGGTGCGCGTCATTGGCCCCGGGCCCGGGGGCAGCATTCGGGGCAAGCACGGCCCGGTCGCCGTGCAGCGCGCCAGGCGAAAGGGGGCCACTTGCTCCGGAGGAGGAGGACGACGATTCCGGGGAGTAGTGCGGCGCGCCAGTCGGTTCGGCGATGTGGGTCACCGGCGGGACATGCTCCTCACCATCCGGAGGATGGTGATGCAGCTCGTCCATGTGCAGGGCCGGCAAAATCGGCACGGCCGGCATCAAACCCAATATTCCTGGATAGGAGGGGGGGGGGAGGGGGCGAGAGCGAGGGCGGAGGGAGAGGAGGGCGGAGGGAGAGGAGGGAGGGAAAAAGGGCTGCTGCCGGGGAGGTGGTGGAAGATCGGTGCCGTGGTCCCCTGCGCCGGGCTGGCGGGCTGAGATCTGGGTCTGTTAAGTTTCAGAGAGTTTCCCACACAGGTGCGTTGGTATCTCGGTGGTGGTAGTTTTTCCCGGCATTCGGCGGAGCTGCCCTGCTTGGTCGGTGTCTCTGCTTCTGTGTCCGTTGCACTTTCGGCCCCTGCTTCCGCCTTTCTCTCCCCCTCTTGCCTTTTCCCTCGCTCTCTGTCTCTGTCTCTGTCTCTGTCTCTGTCTCTGTCTCTGTCTCTCTGTCTCCCCCCTCATCGCCCGTTCCCTTTCCCTCTTTTCTATGCTGGGTCCATATTTATCTTTTTATATATATTCAGGGTCCCGCCACTCCTGCCACCTGTGGGGAGGTAAAAGTCGGCCTTGTTCTCTGCCAAAAGTACAAATCCCCTCAGGAGCATGATGCAGCCAGGGCCCCCCGGCGTTGGGTGACACGTACACATCGAACGCGAGGGGGGGGGTCTCTCTCTGCCTCAGACACACACACACACACACGCACGCACGCACGCACACCCGAAGCCCACACTCCCGGCCTCGGCTTGGCCGTGTGCACGGACATGCCAAAAGAAAAGACAGTGATATCGGGGAAAAAAGGGGGGTGGGACAGGGGGTAATGAGCTCTATTTGGTATGGAAGAAGAGGATGGGCCAGCACCAGGTGGCAAGGCAAAAGGAAAGCAGGGAAGACAAGGGGCAGAAGTAGGACGCATGGCAGCACCAGCTCCCCCTCAGGAGAGGTGGAAGCTCCCGGTGCCCTCGTAGATGGCAGTCAGGAGGCGTTCGCGGAGGATCGCCTCGGACGAGTAGTTCGGGATCTTCAGCGTGTGAGAGCAGGTCATGGAGCTGGGAAGCGACGTGTCATCGGTGGGCCCGGCCGCGCTGGAGTCACTTGCAACATGCGAGGAGGTCTTATTGACCACACTCAGCGGGGGCTGGATGCTGGCCAGGCCGCCGATCGGCAGGCGGGATGCCCCGGTGGTGAAGGCCAGGAAGGCCGCGCGCTGTGTGTCGTCAAGCTCGGACAACACGCGCAGGAGGGCCTTGAACGCGGGGCTGTGGGTTGTTTATCGTTGGATGTTTTTTTCCCCCCCGCCAGAGCGAGAGCCGAAGCCCCATGCGCGCACGCGTGGCGGCAGCAACACCAGCAACCCGGGCAAGGGGAGGAGGGAGGAGGTCGAGGATAAGGGCGCATGTCAGCAAGCAGCAATGGCGGAGAGACGGGGTGTGTGTGGAAAAATGCCCCCCCCCCCAAACAAACTAGCAGGGGCTCTCCCCAGCAATGGGCACACCCGACGCACCTGTCCGCCGTGAAGCCGTACGACGGCCGGATGTGCTCGGCCAGATACTCCAAGGTCCACGATTCGGTGGCACCGCCAAGAAGCAGATCCATCGGCGCCTGGCCGGGGACATCGTCCACCGACCGCATGAGGCCACCGGCCACCAGGGGAATCAGCTCCTCCACCACGAGGAAGGTCCCGAGTCCGGCGCGGAAGGCCGCCACACGAGCCGCGATCGACCAGTGCTTGGTGAGGTTTTGGATGACCAGGGCCAGATACCGGTCGACATTGAGCGCGGTCACCGGGATGTCCGACCCCCGGGGGAGCAGCTCGATGTGCGGCGCCCCGGGCAGGGTGAAGTCCAGGGCCAGGGCCTCAAGCGGCTGGCCGTCCAGCGTCAGGGCCTGGATTTGGCGGTCCTGCTCGGCCCGCGAGAGGCCGGTGTCGGCCAAAATCCGGCGCTTGTCACACACAAAGCGGAAGAGCCGCTGCATGGACATGTGCAGCCGTGGGTCCACCTCCTCCAGGAGGTCCATGCACACGGCCGCGCGCGGGGTGGCCCCCATCACGCCGGACACGGCATCGGCCCAGGGCTTGCCCGGGGAGGTGGCGGCCCCGGTCGGCCCGGCGGCCATCGGGACATCCGCATCCAGCCCGAAGACCACCGCGCGCCAGAAGGCCGCGCTCAGGGGCAGCTCCAGGATCGTGGCATTCAGCAGGGAGCAGCCGACCAGCTGGCCCAGGGCAAAGAAGCGCGCGTGCACCAGGTGCTCCTGCCCAAAGGCCCGGGCGTCGTTCTGGCTCAAAGTCGGCCGGGGATAGAGCCCGGCGTCCGGCACCGAGACGAAGGGGCCAGCCGCGTCGGCGGCCCCGATGGTCAAGGGCACATCGGTCAGGTCGCTGTCCGGGCCAAGCCCAGCCGACGGGGCGAAGAGCCACTGCATGGCGAAGTAGGGGGCCCGATTGGGGGCCTCGGCCGGGGCCATGGCGTCCGGCGACCGGGGGACATGCTCGACGAACTGATCGTCCCCGAGCCAGAGGCCGAGTCCACGTCGAGCAAACTCACGCGACGCCTTGTGGAAGAACTCCATCGTGGGGCCCTGTCAGCGTGTGTGTGTGTGTGTGTGTGTGTGTGTGTGTGTGTGTGTGTGTGTGTGTGTGTGTGTGTGTGTGTGCACGCAGGGTGTGAATGTCAGTTGCCATGGAAAAGCCGCGGAAATACGGCGGGGTGGGAAAGGGGGAGAAGAAGAGGGAAAAAAAAAGGCGCACCGAGCCCGTGCCAACTTCCTGGTCGAAGCGAATGTGCGGCGCGCGACCGGAGGAGCTGAGCTCCTTGGTGATGAGCTGCGAGCTGGCGCGCAGGCCCCGCCGGTGGACGGCAAAGCGCGACCCGGTGTCCGTGTACGGGAACAGGTGCGTGTACTGGCTCTCCAGGGCGGGGTTCCGGGTGACAAGCTCCTGCCCGGCGATCTTGGGCCCGGTGATGTTGTTGCGAACCAGCAGCAAGCGCGACTCGACCGAGAACAGATGCGGACAGGCGAAGGCCAGTGCCTTGAGCACCGGCGACACCGAGGCCGTCAGGCAGGTCTCCAGCTGGTTCAAGTCGGCCAGCAGCATGGACGACAGGTGGGCATTGGCGAAGGCATTGTACTGGCGACGCCCGGGGAGCTCGGCATCCGAGATGACGAAGGGGATGGGAAGCTGGGCCTGCATGCCGAGGGGGGGCGGAGATGGCAAAGCAAGTCGACCCAATGTGTGAGTTCACCGGAAGGGGGGGGAGGGGGGGGGAGGGGGAGGGAGACAGGAGGGGAAGCGAGCGAGGGGACAGCGCTGCCCGTGGGGCACTTTGCCAGCGCGCACCTTGTCGACCGTGGGATTCATGTCAAAGAAGGCCGAGCGCGAGGTCCGCGAGGCCAGGGCCCGGATCAGATGGATCAGCGCCAGGGAGAACTTCAGCTGCGTGCCGATGGCCCGAGAGCCAGACTTCGGGTCGATGATCAAGGGGAGACGCATGTTCCGCGAGAGGAGGTCTTCGTTCGGCAGGGGGGATGTCCAAAGTCAGATGGCAGGCAGGCAAGAGGGCACCGGTGCTCAGGAGAATGAGCCCGCATACGCTCCCGATATCTCGCTCCCAGCCTCCCAGGGGGGGGGGAGGGAGGGGGGAAGACAAAAAAAAGGACACAGAAGACACCCACATCCAGGCCGATGGCGACATACCCTGCGGTGTGGCCAGGAAGTGCTCGACCCCATCGAGGTTGGCGGTTTCCAGATCGGCCGCGGGGTCCGACTCGGGAAGCACCCACGTGTGGGTATCGTCAAAGTGGGCCGGATCGAAGGGCATATTCAGCAGGGTCCCGGGGATGCCGAGGGCCGCGACCTCATGGACCGGGGCATAGTGCGATGGCTGGAAGGGACGCACGACCAGCTCGATGTGCAGCGGATGGGCCATGAACATGGAGGGGGCTGTGCCGGGGCGAGATGAGACACACAGGTACGGGAGGGGGGGGGGGGGGGGGGGGGGGGGGGCAGAGGGACGTCAGCGAGCATGTGGAGGCCGTTTCCTTCTCACGGGAGCCAGCATCGGACAGGCAGGCAGGCAGGCAGGCAGACGGCCCGGGGACGCACCGCGGGAGTGGATGTTCAGCACCTGCAGGAAGGACATCGAGTAGGGCAGGGCCCGGTCCCCGAGGAAGAGCGAATACTCCTGGACGCCGGCATCTGGGGATGCGAGAAAAGGGTCAGTTAGCAGGAGGCACAGGCACAAGCAAAGAAAGAGGGGCCTCAGGACCCGCAGCAGGGGACCCCAGGCGAGCGTACCCTGATACGAGCCAGCCCGCCGGACGGAGCCGGCGTCCGGCGCGAAGGGATACTGCGCGGCACTCTTCCGGATGAAGGCCGCCAGCGAGCGGTCCAGCTTCGGCCGGTGCAGGGTGTCTCGATCGTGAACCAGCTGGATGATGTCACGGCGGGACTTGCCGGCGGAGGGGCGCGCGGGGGCACCCCCGCGGCGGCGCGCACCGCCAGCCGCCCCCTCCAGCATGGACATCAGCTGCATCAGCGCCTGGGCCTCATCCGGCATGATGTTCGGCTGGGCAGCGGCCGCGCGCGAGAACAGCTCCAGGATGCTGGCACTGTCGGGCTCGCTGTCGCTCTGATCATCCGACTGCTCGTCGCTGTCGGTGTCCTCGCTGGAGGAGGAACTCCGCGAGGGGGGGCTGCTCTGGCGACGGCGCCGGCGCCCGACCGGGCTGCTGTCATCCTCGGAGCTGCTGCTGCCGCCGCCGCCGCTGCTGCTGCTGCTGTTGTTGCCGCTGGTGTTGCCAGGGGCCTCGTCGGCCGGGGGGGCGGCCGCGGCCGCGGCCGCCTGCCGCCGGGCCTCCTGCTGACGGAGCGAGCTCAGCAGGTAGTTCGAGCGCGAGAGCATCCGCCGACCGGCGGACCGGGTGCGCGAAGTGCGCGAGGTCTCCGGGTCGGCCGCCTCGTCGGGGCCGCCGGCCGCTTCGGTGGTCGGCGCCATGTCCGGCGAGGCGCGCGATGACCGGCTACTGCCGCTGCCGCTGCCACCGGCGGCCGGGTCCGAGTGGCCGCCGGGCTTCGAGAAGGGAATGCCAAAGGGCGACACCGGGGCAATGTGGCCCTCGTCATCGAAGTCCAACGACGGCGAGGGGAAGGAGAAGGTCTCGGCCGGGGCCGGGTCCACATCGATGGACACCACATTGTCGATGCTGTCATTCCGGCCGATCCCCAGGAACATCATGCTCGACTGGTGGGTCTGCATCCGGCGAACGGCCTGGGCCAATTGCGCCACGGTGGCCTGCGCCGGCAGCAGGACATCCTTGCTGATGGTCCCATCGGCGAAGGCGTCAAAATGCCCGGCCAGCAGGGAATCCGAGGCCAGGGTCACACGGACCTGGACCTTTTGCTTGACATCTGGAGAGCACCGCGGCCGAGCCGAGCCGAGCCGAGCAGGCCCAAGGGCAGGAGAACGGTCAGACAGGGAGGACGGGGCCGGAAAAGGGGCCGAAGGAACCGGCCAACCGCAGAAGCCGGGCAGCAACAGCACAGGGAGACGCACACTTGAGCGAGCGCGACTTGGCCTCCTCATCCACCGGGGCCGGGTAGTCCTGGTCCGAGCCTTCGCGCACCGTCGGCACGAAGGGCAGCGCCGCCGGGTCATTGTCCGTCGGGAAGAGCAGCGGCAGTTGGGTTTGCGCGCCGGCGCAGTGCCGGCCGACGGTCTTGTGCAGCAGGCCCAGCAGACGCTCGAGCGCCGCCGGCGGCGGGACCGGCAACGTCCGGATGACGGCCGCATCGGCCGCCGACACGTGGTCCGACAGCGGCCACCCGAAGAAGACAAACACAAAGGCCGACAGCTGGGCCAGCCACTTGGACGGCGGGGCCGATGCCGGCCCATCGGCCGCCATGCTCGTGCTCATGGTGAAGAGGTCGACCAGGCGCTCGGCCAGGCCGGACTGCGTAAACTCGAAGGTGCTCAGGACGCTCGAGTCGCTGCGGCCCAGCAGGGTGGCCTGGCTGCCGGGGCAGCCGGCCATCGACCCGGACCCGGGGGAACCGGCCGCCGGCCCGGCCCCGGGACTGCTGGCCGAGCCGGCCGCGCAGGCCCCGGCCTCGGGCAACACCTCGCCCACCAGCAGCGAGGCAACCACCCCCAGGTAGGCCACCAGCAGGGGGATGGATTGCGTGGTGTCCAAGGCCCCGGCCACATGGGTCAGCAGGTCCAACGTGTCGAGGCGACTGAAGGTGGCCAGCCCGGCCGGGACCATGTCCGCCGGCAGGGCGGCCAGGAAGCGCAGCGCGAAGGCCATCGGCCCGGCGCCCTCCAGCGCATCATCATCCTCATCGGCCCCACCGCCCTCGGCAATGGGGCTGCCATCGGGATCGGACATGAGGGCATCGCCGGAGAGGGCCCGGGCGGCACGCCGAGCAGCAGCAGCAGCAGCACTGGCCGAAGCGGCCCCGGCAGCCGGCTGAGTGGCCATCTGCTCCAGGACATTCAGCAGGGACCCGGTCTGGAAGTGGAACCAGGCCGTGATGTGCCGCTGGCACACGGCCAGATGGCCGGCATGGACCTCGCGCGAGGCCCCCAGGTACGGCCCCAGCCCGACGGGCCGGTGCACGCAGGAGCTCTGGAGGAAGCGCTGCAGCGTGTGCAGCGCGCCCTCCCGGCGGAGGGACTGCGCAAAGGGCCGGCGCTCCAGCAGGGCCACCGCCCCGGGCGGGGGGCACAGGAAGGCCATGGCCAGCGCGTCGGAAGGCGCACCCTCGGGAGCCGGCATGGTGGCCAGGGCCCGCAGCCGCGCCGCCAGGACCCCATGCTCATCGGCCGTCGGCAGGAGATCCACCAACAGCCGGACCAGCTGCAGGGTCATGATGGAGGCCATGGGCGACCGGCGATCCGTGGCAAAGAGGCTGCACGGGGCATCCGGCACCAGGCCGCTGTCACTGCCATTGATCAGCACCTCGAAGCAGAACCGCGCCGCCGGCAGGGTGGACAGCACCACCTGCGCCAGCTGCCGCAGCGGCAGGACCGAGGTGTCGGGACCGGTGGCGGCCTCGGCCCCCGGCCACAGGGTCTCCACCACCCGCGGCAGGGACAAAACCCGGACCAGGGCCCGGAGCAGGCCAATGTACGCCATGTTGTCGACCTTGGCCTTGAGGAAGCCGAGGATCAGCACCGGGAGCACCTGCACGAGGAAGTCCCCGGCCAGGTGGGCCGCCGCGGCCGGGGTCAAATCCTCGGCCAGGCGCCGGGCCTGGTGCCGGCCCCAGTCGGTGACCGTGCCGGCGGTCAGGATGGCCAGCTGCTCCGGCTCCAGGACCACCGCCCCATCGGCGTAGATGGGCTGGTAGTTGGCCCCGGAGGAGGTGGGCTCCGGGGCGTCGGTGGCGGCCCCGGGGCCGGAGGTCGTGCCGCCGCCGCCGCCGCCGCCGCCGCCGCCGCAGCCGGCCGCCTCCAGCACCTGCGCCAGCCCCGGGCTGAAGGAGATCCAGGACAGGTGGTCGCTCTGGACGCGGGGCATTTCCCGGTTGAAGTGCGTGCGCAGGACCTCATGCACGTCGCCCCGGCGCGCGGCCGACAGCAGGCCCCCCTCGAGGCTGGAGAAGTGCATGCGCGCGCTGAAGCCGGTGGAGCTGCTGCTGAACTTCGGCACCAGGAAGGGATCGGCCCGGATGTCGAACAGATGCCGCAGCGCCGGGCCGGAGGCCGGCGTGGTGCGGAAGTCCGCCCGGGCCATGGCCAGCAGGGTGAACACCACCTTGATGGCATTGCCCGGGCCGTCCTTGGTGGTGGCCAGATTCCGATAGGCGGCCGGCGCGGGCCCGGGGGTGGGCGCCATGCCGGGCAGCAGCCACGGCAGCCAGGGGACCTGGGCTGCCGGCAGGTCCAGCGCGCTGGTCAGCAGCCAGCGGCACACTTGCGGGAGGCAGTCGGCACGGCGGCGAACCAGCAGAGGCACTGTCAAGTGAGGAGTGTGGGGGATTGGTGAGAGATGTGTGTGAATGTGTGTGTGTGTGTGTATGTGTGTGTGTGTGTGTGTGTGTGTGTGTGTGTGTGTGTATGTGTGTGTGTGTGTTTGGCAGGGCCGATCCCGAGGGGGGGCAGCATTGTGGCCGACAGCACAAGCAGCGGATCAGAGGGGGGATGAGAGAGAGCGCGCGCGCGATAGAGAGAGAGAGAGAGACAGAGTGAAAGCGTGTCTGTGTGAGAGACGGAGAGAAGGACAGAAAGGCAGGGGCCCGAGGCGAGTGACACAGAGGAGAGGGAGGACGCACGGAAATTGGGCGACATGTTGCCCAGCTGGAAGAGAATGTCACACAGGAGGGCAATCTGGCCGGCATCGCAGACCGGCATGTCCGGGCGCTGCATGAGCGTGTCGAACTGGCGGCCCGAGGGGAAGGATCGCGGGGGACGAGGGCATCAAGCGCGAGGGGAGGGGGAAGGGTCAGCAGCAGGATGGCACATGGCCGCAAGAAAAGCCCGGGAGAGAGAGAGAGAGAGGGGGGGGGGGAGGGAGAGAAAGCGGAAGGTGGTGTCGGGCCAGTATGGCCGGGCCAAGCCCCAACAGTACCAAGAAGAGCAGGGTCTCCTCGTCGAAGAGACGCTCGTACACCTCGGCCGAGGACAGATACCGGATGGGACTGGAGGAGTCGAGCAGCTCGCCCCGCTGGGCCGGCAGCTCGGTGTTGATGATGAAGGCCAGATCGAAGAGGGCCGGCAGGAAGCGCCGGAAGAGGCGCCCATCGTCGGCCACCTGGCGCAAGGCAGGCACCACCCGGGCAAAGGCGCCGGCCGGCACCGGGGACCGAGCCACGAAGGTCCGGTGCCACTTGGACTCGAAGATCGGGCAGGCGAACATCTCCAGCGAGGGGGTGTGCATCAGGGCAAAGATCAGCTCCAGGGCATGGCGCTGCACATGGCCGGTGGAATTGCCGAGGGCCCGGAGGGCCTCGCCAAAGAGCCCGGCCCGGACCAGCGGCATGAGCACCAGCCGCGGCATGCCGATGGTCAGGCCCAGGTCATCGGGCACCGTGATGAAGTCCGAGAAGGGGGGCGGGTCGAGCGGGGCCGCCGTGGGGCCGGCCCGCCGGAGGAAGGTGAAGAAGGTCCGGGTCTGGGGCGCGGCTGCCGGGGCGGTCGGCGCGGCCAGCAGCTTCAAGGCCATGGACATGGCCTGCTCCCGGAGCAGGGGGTACCGCTCCTGGGCCACATACTCCGCCAGGACCGGGGCCAGGGGCTTGGCCAGGTGCAGCACCAGCATGGGCTGCGCCTCGCAGGCGTTCTCCAGGCAAGTGAGCGAGGCGGTGGAAAAGATGACCGTCTCGTCGTCCAGCTCGGCAGAGGGAGCCAGCTTCTTGAACATCACCCGGTTGAACTCGCCATACGGGAACATCATCAGGGAAGCCTGGTTGGAGAGGAGCAGCATCTCGCAGAGCATGTAGAGCGACTCGAGGTCTGTACCCGGGGGGTCAGCATGGAGGGGCGGGACAGGGCGGCGGGGGGGGGGGGGAGAGAGAGAGGACGCACCACCCCGCTCGACGTTGCGGATGATCATCGAGAAGTTGTTCATGGTGTGGGACAGGGGAGGCGTGCGGTTGGAGCA